GACCCTTCTCATTCCCAAAGCTTCCATTAAAACCCTGCTCCCACTACCATGACTCGAATTCAACCTTGCAAGTCTGGCTAGACCAGAGGATGTACACTGGTACAGATAGGAACTGAAAATACAGGGAATCCAGGGCGGATGAGCCCTATAGGACCAGTGGTGTGAGTGGCGAAACAGGGAGGGTGAAGGGAGAATGGGCAGGAAAGAGGGAACCGGTTACAAGGAACTATATGTAACCTCCTCCCTGGTGGACAGACAACCGAAAAGTGGGTGAAGGGAGACATCGAACAGGGCAAGATATGACAAATTACCAATTTATAAACTATGAAGGGCTCATAAGGGAGGGGTAGCGGGGAGGGAGGGGAAAAATGAGGACCTAATGTTGGGGGTTTAAGTGGAGAGAAAATGTTTTGAGAATGATGTACAAATGTGCTTTACACAATTGATGTGTTTATGGATTGCAATAACAGTTGTATGAGCCCCTAATAAAACATTTTAAAAAATAAAAATAAATAAATAAATAAAACTCACTGAACCAAGCTCCAAGATAGTCCAGATAACTTCCCCATCTCTTCAATGGTCTGTAGTTGGTCTTTGAGCATAGGTGCATGACTTTTGTCAATATTTTTGCCCCTGTGGGAAGGTGACGGACGTCCAGAATGAGGTTTGTCATCAATCGACATTTCATCTTTCTTGAAATGAGAAAACCACTCATACAGTTGAGTTTTTCCCATACCGTTGTCCTTGTAAGTTGTGTTCAACATCACAGTTTCTGCAGCATTTTTCCTGAGCAGGAAACAAAATTTCATAGCCGCACACTCTTCTCTAAATTGATCATCACAAAAAACAATGTTTGAGTGAAACTGCTTTTAGGAAAAAATTCCCTGTGACCAGAGAGAACGTTCCTAGTTGACACCACTGGTTACACTAGCTCAGAGCAAGTTGCTCAATGCTCGCCTAGCAGGAAAATTGCATACTATGAAAGCTCCACCCAGCGGACCCCTTTTCCCATTGGGGGGGGTAGTTCCTCTCTCTATACTCAATTCAAGGAGTATATGTATATATACACATCTACTCACATGTAGATATACTGTTTGATTGTATACATATTTCGTATATATAGGCGTGTACATGTATATCTATATATAGGTATACTAAGTCACTGCTGTCGGGTTGATTCTGACTCATGTATACATCCTAGAAGGACACCCAGTGGCTAGCAGGGATGACCACTGGACCAGGAAGACAAAGTATGTGCAGAGTGGTAAATGCAGAGCCTCCACATTTTATTCTTGGATTATTATGTTTTATTACTTATAAGTCAATATATGCTTACTTATTTCATAAAGAACATTCATAGGTACACATGCACATTGTTGGGGGTGGGGGTGAGAAAGAGAGAAAAACAGAAAGGGAGAACTCTACCCAGAAAAGCGTTTCTCCATCTCTTCTGAAATCTCCAAGGGGTAAATGGATGGTGCCAAGCTTAACTGAGCACTTAGCATATGCACTGCAATCCCATCCACACATGCTAACCTCATTATATTGTGCTCCGCCTTCGTGCATGTCACAGGTGTGTATTTATTTTGTTACAAGTGGGAGATTTATGGCAACTCTGCGTCCAGCAACCGTCAGCGCCATTGTTTCAGCAGCACGGGCGCTCTTCATATCTCTGCGTCAGGCTAGCTCATCCTCGCTGCATTTTAATCATTTTTTTAAGGATCATTTTATTTGGGGCTCTGACAGCTCTTATAACAATCTAAACATCAATTGTATTGAGCATATTGGTACATATGCTGCCATCATGATTTTTTAAACATTTACATTCTATCTGAGCCCTTGCTATCAGCTCCTCTTTTTTCCTTCCCTCCCCCACCCTCCCACCCTCACGACCCCTTGATAAACGATAAATTCTTATTATTTTCATATCTTAACACCGACTGCTGTCTCCCTTCCCCTGTGGTTTCTTCCCCCCCTTCTCTCCCTACCTTCCCCCTACCCTCCTGGTATTGCTATTCCCATTTCTGCTCCTAAGGGGGTTATCTGACCTGGATTCTGTGTGTTCTGAGCTCTTATCTGTACCTGTGTACATTCTCCAGCCTAGCCGGATATGAAAGGCACGATTGGGGTCATGATAGTGGGTGAAGAAGCCTCAAGGAACCAGAAGAATATGGTGTGTTTCATCGGTGCTATACTTCACCCTGGTTTACTCACGCCTTCCTTGGGACCCTTTGTTAGTAAACATTTTTAATAATGCTATCTCACAGTGGCTAGAGTCCAATAGAGTGTAAGCATAATTTTTAGCTGTACTAGGAAACAACAACAACAAAGTCACGTGTCTGGCTTTGTTGTGATCTTTGCTTTGTGGAGATGGTCTGGAACTGAACCTCCAGTGTCTCCAAAGTACACTGGCACTCACATCACCTGCCCTGCAGCTGCGTGAACCCGGCAGCCAGTTGCTCGCAGTCAGTTCCAGCGGAGTGACCCCCTGTGGGTCAGAGTACACTGCTCCATTGCGTTCTCCACGACTGAGCTTTGATAAGTAGAGAGAAGAAAGTGCGAGTTCTCTTTCTTCCAAAGTGCCGTGGTGTGGACTCACACTTCCAACATGTGGTCTGCACCAAGCATGTTTGTCACTTGAACTATTCTTAGGGATTGAATTTGGTGTCCCCACCAAATATGTGTTCCATACCTAACTTCTATGCCCATGGTTATAATCCCATTTAGGAATGATCTCATGTTATGGTAAAGAGACAGAACTGTTGTAGGTTCATCTCCCCCCCCCCCCAGATGTAAAAGAGATTAAACTAGCAAGTGAGCAAGCCAAGACGAGGAAGATAAATGCCAAACCATCTGGTGATCTCTAAGGAATCGGGTATAAGCTAAAGAGTCAAGGACCTTCTCCGGAACCAACGCACAGAGAGAAAGCTTTTCCCTAGAGCCAGAACCCCAAATTTGGATTTCCAGCCTTCTAAACTGTGGGAAAATTAATGTGTTGGTTTGAGATGTCCATTTGTGGCATTCCGTCCCAGTAGCACTAGGTATCCAAGACAACCACCCCAGAGCTGCAGAATCATAGTAAGGAAGAGTTCCTTCTTTTCCGTTCAGAAGATGCAAAAAAGCAAGGAAAATGGCCTTGACCAAGGCCTTTCAGCAAATAGGTAGCGGATCAGGATGGGACCTCCTTGTAGTTTAGGCAGGAGTTTAGGAGCATTGGAAAGACAACCGGTATCAGTACAAGTCACGAGGGCTTAGATGGCAGGATGGAGAGACTGACAGCTGTTCCTGTGTGTGAAAAGCTCTTGGCTTTTCCCCGTGGCATCTAGGGCAAGCGTCCTGTGACACATCTCTGCTTTCTATGCTACTTCCTGCCTTCAAGTGCGTTTTTTGGCTCTAGCATCCTCTACTGGTTCCTGCAGCCTGCATATGTTTTCTTCCCAGCCACCTCACGGAAGCTCCCCAGTGTTCCATAAGAGGGTCTGGGGCCATTTACAGGCAGGCTCAGGGAATCCTTACTCCACCCCGTAGAGGAAAGGCAAACCACGGGCCACCTGACTTTGATTGCTTCTCACCAACACAAATGAACCAAGATCACATTATGCAAACAGCAACCACTGGTTTTGGAGGAGACATGAGTAGACAAAGACATCTATGTTGTCAAACAGACCTGAGGGAGGTTGCCAACTCTGCCACTTCCTCACAATATGATAGACGTCCTCTCTTAGATCGTCTTTCTGCTGATCTGTAAAACAGGAATGATAATATGTGCCTTTTTAAAAATCATGGCTTGGAAATGAATACATACAGTGGCTGGCAGAGAGGATCTGTTCAAGGGAAAGAAACGACTGTGGCTCCCACCACCAGCCCCTCCATGGGAATCACTACTCTCATCGTTTTGCAGATTGCCTTACAATTCCTTTCGTCATGAGCCACTGTACCCTGTGACCTCCTAGCAGCCTAGTGAATTGAATTTGGGTAGGAGTGTTTCCCCTATTGTACAGATGAGGAGACTGAAGGTCAAAGAACTCAATTGAATGGCTGGCCCAGGCTCAGATAGGAACGGTGTCATCTGTATCAGAGCTCTAAAATTATAAAGCCCATTTGCTTGTCTGTCTTACCTCCTTGGTGGTGTAGTGGGTTGTGCATTGGGCTGTTAACCGGACGATCAACAGTTCAAAACCACCATCTGGGAGAAAGAGGAGAATGTCGTTTCCTGTAGAATTACAGCCTTGGAAACCCCTAGGGGCAGTTTCCTCTGTCCTTTTGGGGAGCCATGAGTCAGGATGAACTCTTGACAGTGAGGTTTGTTTTCCCTTTTTTTGTTTTTCCCCTAAGGCATTCTCTTTCCATGGTCAATCTAATCTAACAAATGGCACTTATTCCTTCTGCATCCCATGAAGACACCTGCTTGCCTTTTAGAGAAGTCTTAACTCTGCTTCTAAGGCACGTCAAGGGCCTTTCTGGAGGTCTGGCTTGGGTGAGCAGAGGCCAGCAGAAGCTGCTAATATTACTAATTGAGCAGCAGGCTGCTGTTCTGTGCCCTCTCCGTGGACCGGGCAGGATTGGCCCTGAGCTACAAGGACACTATAAACCTTCCTTTGCTACTGTCTTCAACCTTGGTCAACAGATACACGGGGAATAGATTCCAGTTGGCGATGCTAGCTGATAATTCTCTGTGAATTAGTCTGTCATGCTTTTTGAAAGTCTCGGTGTGTACAGAAAAGAGTTTCTTGAATTTATTCTGTGCATGGACGCGCACCCTGGTTTCCCCTTCAATTTCTCCAAAATGTCACAAATGACTTTCCTTGAGTTTACCAATTTGAAGGATTAATGTGTTTCTCAGTAGACACCTGTGCCCTAGTTACATCCCAGCCAGAAGAGCTGCCTCCACTCCTAAGCGCTGGCCTGGTTTTTCAAGTCAGAGGACCTCGGTTGCAGGTCATTCCCAGTAGGGCCTTCCAGGATGCGGAGTTAACTCTGGGCTCTGTTTTATCCTGCAGGTGCGTGGAGGAGTACAAACTGGCTCCTGATGGGAAGTCCTGCCTGATGCTCTCAGATGTCTGTGACGGCCCCAAGTGCCTCAAACCTGACTCCAAATTCAACGACACTCTCTTTGGAGAGATGCTTCATGGTTACAACAACCGGACGCAGCATGTCAACCAAGGACAAGTCTTCCAGATGACCTTTAGGTAGGGCACAGTCACTTGTACCCTGGTATACATCACTGATACAACAGCTAAGCATTGGGGGAAAGCCCGGGCCCGTGGAGCAGCATCCTGTAATGCTGGTCAGCATCTCCCTAGGGTCCCTACTGCCCACTGCTGCCTGCTAGAAGCCAGCCAAGCTCATTCTCCGAGCTCTTTCCCGCATGCCCCTGACTATCTATGTCTTTTAAATTCGATCTTAACTCATCCTGTAAGTACAGTTAATGGAATTTTTAATTTTTAATTAATCTTTTCGGTCTGTTAAAAAGCAAGTGTCCTTTGCAGCTTATTCAGGCAGTGTAAAAATAAAGACATTTAATGAAGCAGGAAGTAAAATTTCATCACCCACTAGTACACAGAACTAACATTTTCCTGAATATTCTTGAAACACTTCTCTTTGTCCCTTATACCAAACACACACACACACACACACACACACACACACACACACAAACACTCTCTCTATATACACACATCTCAGTAAAACGGTTTTGAAAAATCCTGTTGTAAAGAACTCAGTGAAGTACCACCATCCTCCTTGCATGTTCATAGCCACAGAGGTGCCTGTGAGATTACGAGGTGAGACTCCCAGCGGAAGAGAGTGGAGACCATAGACAAGTGACCCTGCTGCTCATGTTGTAAGAGGGTCAGGGTCACAGACTAGTGGGGGGGGGTCTTCCTGGGATATTAATGACACTGGAGTTGTTCTACCTCAAGGAGAGAGATTGCAGGTAGGATTTAGCTATGCCTCAGACTCTGGAAAATCTTAAAACCAGTAGAATAAGAAAACTGTTTTAATGTCTAAGAAAAGATTCTGTCTTTAAAAAGAATGGGGGGAAAGTGCAAACCATACTTTTAGACAGCCTTGCATGAAAATGAACACGGGCTGTTATTGCAAAATAGGTCCTTTCTCCTATTTGAAGTTGGATTGACGGAAGTCAGAACAGGAAAGATGCATCATCGTTTCCAACTGTCCCCCTTCCTCTCCCAAACCTTATTAATAATAGTGGTAGTGTCGTAGAGGAGGCATGATGGCTGCCACTTCTGAAGAATTCCTCGATCTGAAGCTCCTTAGTCAGTATTTTAATAATAAGAATAATAATACCAGCTAACAGGAATCTATCATGCGCTGGGAGGTGTTTGAAGTCCTTTCTGTGCGTTGACTTGTTGGATCCTCACAGTGACCCTGGGAGGCAGGAGCTTTCTGTCATCCCTCTGACACCATGAAGACACTTAACCCCTGCCCTTTCCAAGACCTCCTTCCACAGGGAAAGGGAGTTGTATAACATCATGTTCGCCTTATTACAAGTGCCTTTCATTGTCACCTGCCTTCTAGTCTACAAGTCAAATATCAGTACCAGAGAGGCTAAGTGCCTTTCCCATGGCCATCATTCAGTGAGAGGCTGAGTCAGGATCCAGATTCAGATGTTGTCTGGCTCCAAAGTCTTACTCTGTGTTAGTCCAGGTTGACTAGAGAAACAAATCCAGGGAGACTCAGGCGCGTGTATGAGAGAGCTTTATATGAAAGAGTAATTATATATTATGTAAATATCCCAGCCCAGTCCAGGTCAAGTCTATATTAGCTCATATATCCAATATCAGTCCATAAATGCCTCTTCAGACTCACGCAACACCTGCAATGATGCCAAATGCAGGAAAATCACAGGTCAGTGGGTGGAAAGTCATTGATCCAGTGGCGGTGGAAGCATCTTGGTGCTGGCATATGTGGCTCCTACAGCTCCAGGGCTCTCGCTGCCATCAGCAGAGCTTCATGTGGCTTGTCAACAGGAATGTGAAGCAGAGAGAATATGTGTCCCACCTCCAGGGTGGAAGACAGGGGTTCCCAGAATCCTCAGGAGAAGGCCATGCCCACACAGAGGCCTCATTGGCTACAACCTGATTGACAGACTAGACTCCACCCCTTCACTCAAGTTGACAGGAGATTATGAAACTGCCACACTCTTATTTTCTTATACCATTTACCTCCCATTGTATAAGGAAGGCAACTGAGACCTGGGGTGGAAATGTAAGTTTGCTAAAACTATCTATGTAGTGATGCCATGCATGCTCTTTGTGTACCTGCTATGTCCTAGGGGCCCCCTGATTCCTGAAGACCTACTGCTGAGTGAACTAGAAGTGGTCCCCTGACCCTGTGGTACTTAAGCATGGTGTGTGTGTGTGTGTGTGTGTGTGTGTGTGTGTGTGTGTGTGTGTGTTGAGTGGGGCACAGGGTGGCAAGGAGAGAGAGGTTTAGGTGCTCACTGACATTATTGTTGGTGCTATGATCTCAAGGTTCAGCATTACAGGAAAGTGAAGTGTGTAATTTAATGGGAACCGAAAGGTGGGACTGCCTCTAGTGTATTAGAAAACTATGGCAAAGGATTGGAATATACCTTTTGAGTCACCAGAAATACCTAGAATTAGTAGTTCTATTAACACTTTAAAAGAGCATGTTTCTTTGTCTCTCCCCCTAATCTCTCTCTCCCTCCCTCCATCCACCCCACCACCACCCATGCACACGCATACATGTCCAAAAGCACCTGCATGCACACACAAACATTGATGTACAGCAGTTTTAAAACACCAACTTGGAGAACCTGTGGCAGATCACTAAAACCTGATCTAAGGGTAGGACTTAGCATTAGAAAACACTTCCAACAAAGAGGACAGAAGATTCAAGGGTCTGATAATAAAGAGAACTTGGACGGTTTCAGAAGTGAAGGAGGTCCGTGTGGTTGAAGCTGAGACAGTCCGGGAAGCAATGACAGAACCAGAGCCTTTCAGGTCAAATCTTTGTTTTAAGAGCCATGGAGGGACTCTAGTGGGTAAAGGAAGCATGTGAGGCGCAGCTGCCTTGCATTTGACTGCGTCCCGGTGGCTGTGAGGAAAACAGGTACCCATAAAGAGGCATAGGGGAGTGGAAGTCAGTGGGGTGGCGGGGGTGGTGGTGGGGGTGACTCACTGCCCTGGAGCCAATGGAGATGCATAGCAACTCCCTGGAGTTTCCAAGACTGTAACTCCATCATGATGTACAGGAGTAGAAAGCCCTGAAGGGGGATTAGTTAGAAGTTTACTGCGGTGGCCACCATGGGAGAGTGTTGATGGCTTTCACAGAATGATGGGAACAATACTGTGAAAAGCTGTGGCCCAATATTGGGAGGACATCTCAGGGCCGAGTCATGTGATAGCAGCCACACCGGCTGTGACTGCAGGGTCGGGTCCTTTGAGTCCCAGCAAGGGGTCCTGTCCATTACTCCAGCGCTCAGGCAGAGGCTGAGTGATAAAGTGTTAGAGATGCTTCAGGAGAAATCCAAGAATAATCAGCTTAAAACCTAAATGCACTGTAATATTGAACGTCTCCAATACTAGTTGTCTATAAGTTTAATCGTCTATGAAACCCTGTATTGAGCACCACGGTAGGTTGGGAGATGCTGCTTAGACTCCAGAGAAGAAAAAATGAAAGAAACTGACGCAGCTTCTAAGGGAGAAATGTGCATGCTCGTAACATGATACATCCATTGTCAGCCAGTAGATTCGGACTCACAGCTGCCAGATAGGGAATCTGAGGCTATAAATCTGGACTTGAGCCAGCAGCCTGGTTTGATTCCTACAGAGGGGTTCGTGAGTTTAAACCGCCAACCTTACGCTTAGCAAACCAATGTGTAACCACCATCACCAGCGCTCCAACCATAAGAAGCTTTACAATCATAGTTCCTTAAAAAAAACAGACTCCCATTCCTTCCTTACTTTTCTTAACGATAATGCACGTTGATGGAGTTTTGGGTTAGGCGGTGGTTCAAACCCACAAGTCACTCTGGGAGAGAAAGGAGAGGCTGCCTGTTCCTGTCAAGATTCAGTCTTGAAAACCTTTCACAAGACACTCAGAGTTTTCATCGACTCAATGGCAGCGGGGTTTCTGGTTTGGTCAAATGACGCATAGAACCGGGGTGGGGACAGTGATTTATTTGCAAAACAGTGTGCCAAGAAGGGCCCGTGGTTTTTAAGGATTTTCCCTGTAAAGCTTCTTGAAAGGAAGTCGGAGTGGTGGAAAGCTCCCAAGAACCGGCATAGGAACTCAGGAAATGAGCGGCAGTGTGTCTTGGCGGTGTGCAGAGCTAGCTGTATGGGCCTTTTCTGTCCAGAGAGGTGTCTCTAAAGACATGGACAAGTGGATCTGTACGAGGAGAAGTCAGGGGAACAGACCTCGCTGCTGTTTCCCGGCTCCAAGTCCTGGCCTCGCTCAGTACAAGCGGAGTACTGCTGTCTCTTCTTTAAAATGGGTATTCCTCTCACACACTAGTCATTGTGATAGGCACAGCCTACGTTTTATGCTGAGTGAGCTCTCGAAAAGTCATGTCCGTGGCTGGTAGATTGATAAATGAACAAATGCATTCGTTCACATGGCCTTGTGGGCAGATGAGCTTGTTCAAGAAGGAGGGTCCGCATAGGAAGGTGCTGGGTCCCGAAGGGACTTAGACATCATGTTGTCCTGGGATCTCACTTGTACATATGGTGAAGGACGCAACTGGCTTAGCTAAGGTCACAAAGCAAGTCAGCAAGTGGGTGCAGAGCTCGCCCAAGTTCTCAGCTGTCTCCCCACTGCAACAGCCTGGTCCGCTAGAGGAGCATGGCATCTTTAATTAGGTCCAGCCTGAAGACGGCCAGGTTCCAAATGGAGTCCTCCGTCTGTCCCAAAGACTCCGGTCATCGTTACCGACCCCTGGATTTTGCTCTGTGCTGATTTCCTCAGAAAGAAAGAAAGAAAAGAAAAGACATGCAAAACAAAAAACAAAAAAACAAGGACACACACAATATTTCTGGCTTTTCTCTTTTGACAACAGCCACAAGATTTAGGGAACTCCCCAGACTGCCGTTATATCCCACCACCTCGTTACATTTGAGCTGTCTCGTCCTTGGCTTCAGTTAAGCTTTCTCTGCGATTATTTCTATCCCCAGCCTGTGTCACCTTTTAGAACCACATGCTA